TTAGTCCTTAAAACCGATAAAGTCCTTATTGTGGGTGACTTTAATATTCATGTTGACGTTGAGAATAATAGCCTCAATATTGTTTTTACCTCATTATTAGATTCAATTGGTTTTATACAGAATGTACATCAACCAACCCACTGTTTCAACCACACCCTTGACCTTGTTCTCATATGGTATTCAAATTGAGCATCTATCAGTCAGTGCTCATAACCCTGTTTTATCTGATCACTACTTATTAACTTTTGGTGTTCTGTTATTAGACTATAAGCCACTGCATAAGAATGCCTACAAAATAAATCTATCAGATTCTGCTGTAGCAATATTTATGGGAAAAATTCCATCAGTGCTAGCTCATTAACATCTCACAGTCCAAGGGAGGACTCTTTTATTAACCTTATGCCCCCCCCCCCCCAAAAATAGATCACATGATTGATAGTGTTACCAGGGCGCTAAAAATAACACTGGACTATATTGCCCCTTTTAAAATTAAGAAAATTAAACTAAGAAGACTAGCTCCATGGCATAACAATGAAACATAATAAAGCAGAGGACAAGGCAACTTGAAAGGAAATGGCGCTCCACCAAGCATCAAGAATTTCGGTTACTCTGGCTTGATAACCTTAAAAAATATAAGAAGGCACTACGCACTGCCAGAGCAGCTTGTTATTCCTCCCTAATAGAAGAAAATAAAAACAATGCCAGGTTTCTCTTTAGTACAGTAGCCAGGCTGACGAGAGTCACAGCTCTATTGAGTCTTCTATTCCTACATCCATCAGTAATGACTTTATGAACTTCTTTAATGATACAATTATAAACTCTCAGGGACAAAATAAACCACCACCTACCCTTAGCCAGCACTGAATCACACCCTTAACACCGGACATATACTTAGTGTGCTTCTCTCCTAGACCAAAACCAACTCAATTCAATTATTTCATCCTCTAAAGCATCTACCTGTATCTTAGACCCTGTTCCATCTAAGCTGTTCAAGGAAATTGCACCCCTAATTAATACACCTGCATTAAATATGTTGAATTTACATTTACTGTCAGGCTATGTTCCACAGTCATTTAAAGTAGCTGTAATTAAACCTATTATACAATTTAAAAAACCTTGATCCTGAGGTTATGGCCAACTACAGGCCAATATCAAACATTCCCTTCCTCTCAAAAATCCTCGAGAAAGCAGTGGCCTCACAATTGTGTGCATTTTTAAATACAAATTGTTTATTTGAGAAATTCCAGTCAGGTTTAGAAAACATCATAGCACAGAGACAGCACTGGTTAAAGTCACAAATGACCTGCTTTGTGCATCTGATAATGGACTTGCCTCTATCCTGGTTCTGTTAGATCTGAGTGCTGCCTTTGACACATTGACCATAACATACTACTCCAAAGATTAGAGCTTTTGATAGGTATAAGGGGAACTGCACTAAGCTGGTTCAGGTCTTACCTATCAAACGGTCTCAGTTTGTATCTGTCAACGATGAATCCTCATTACAAACTACAGTCAGTCATGGAGTACCGCAAGGGTCTGTACTTGGACCCATCCTGCTTATCATATATATGCTACTATTGGGCAATATCATAAGGAATAACTCCATCAATTTTCATTGTTATGCAGATGATACACAATTGTATCTATCAATTAAAACCAGATGTACAATTTGCATTAGTTAAAACTGCAAGAATGCCTCACAGACATAAAGACATGGATGACCAGCAACTTCTATTATTAAACTCCGACAAAACAGAAGTCATTATACTTGGCCCCCAGCACCTTCGGAACGAATTGTCCAACAACATAATTTCTTCGAATTGTATTACCATGACCTCCAGCACCACGGTAAAAATCTGGGTGTTATTTTTACGAGGATTTGTCTTTTAAATCCCATATAAAGCAAATTTCAAGGACTGCCATCTACGGAATATTGCAAAATCAGGCACATCCTAAATCACAACAATGCAGAAACACTAATCGATGCTTTTATCACCTCCAGGCTGGATTATTGCAATTCCCTTTTATCCGGCTGTCCAAGCTCATCATTAAAGACCCTTCAATTCATACAAAATGCTGCAGCACGGGTTTTAACAGGAACGAAAAAGATGGACCACAACACTCCTGTTTTAACAGCCTTGCACTGGCTCCCAGTTAAGTCCAGGATTGATTTTAAAATACTTTTACTCACATACAAAGCGCTAAATGGTCAGGGACCATCCTACAGGATCTTTTAATCTCCTATTGCCCCTCTAGGGCACTAAGATCCCAGAGTGCAGGTCTGTTGGTGGTTCCCAGAGTCCACAAAAAAAGGTCAGGTGCTCGAGCTTTCGGCTACCAAGCCCCGTTCCTCTGGAATCAACTTCCAGTGGCGATTAGGGAGGCAGACGGTGTCCACACATTTAAGAGTAGGTTCAAGACTTTCCTCTTTAGTACAGCGTACAGTTAAGACTGGTTTTAAAACCCCCCCTCCTCATGGACCCTTCCTTTTATGGAATTGTATTTATTGTACTCTAACTGTATTTGTGTCATTGTGTTATGTTCCTTTTTAAATTGGTATTTTCACATTGATCTTGTAAGATACGTTTGTTGTTTTTACATTGTTTTACATTGCCAATTGTGTTTGTTGACTTTTGAAGCCCTCTGAGACAAATAGGATTTGTGATTTTGGGCTATATAAATAAACTTGAATTGAATTGAATGTGCTCATCCACCGTGACATTAGACGTCAGAGCAAAGGAAACGTCTTGGAATAGCTGTTTGTGTTAGTTAGATTATCTATGGCTCACATGGAATGATCATTAAGGTCTGATGCTATTTCAAAACGTCAAATATTTCCATTGATCAAATGCTGATCTTCACTGAAATAATATGCAGTCATGCTTTATTTTAGTTACGTACACTTAGGCTGAATTACTTTAGTTACATGAGTGAGATTCTAAGTATGGCTCACATGGAGGGATTTGAGGTGTCTGCCACAGCCAGATACTGTCTGTTAGGGCTGTGCAATTAATCGTATTTTAATCGCGATTACGATTATGGCTTGCGACGATTAGGAAAACAGCATAATTGACAAATACGATTATTTTGCTGGGTGCGCTTTCGCCCCTCCCTAAAAGCCCACTCGGCCACGTGGGAGTGACATGTGTTGTGAGTGTTCAGCGCAAGCGAAGATGTCAGAACAAGAGCAGCAACTAGTTAAAAGAAGGGTCGCGGGGAGATTCCCAGTCGATCGCGAGATGTGTCTAAAATAGAACAACAATATTCTGTTTTATCGTTAATGTCCTGTAACATAATCTTCCCGTGCCAGAATAATGCACTTGAACGCATCAAAGCTTTGTGATTGGCCGGCCTCTGTGTCCGGGCGTGGCTGGTGAGCAGTGCACTAATTCGCTGACATTGTCCGTGTCAACAGCATGGATGGTCAACAGGAGTGACAGTCCGCACACACACAATCAGACCGCAATTATGGCAGAAGCAAAAAGCCCAAAATATATAATTTCACTCCGAGTGGGAGGATCATTATTTTTGTATCTATTCCAATTCAAAGTCCATCTGTCTCATCTGCAATGCGAGCGTGGCTTTATCGAAGAAGGGTAATTTAGGAGCGGCATTTCAAAACAGTGCACAAACGCTACGAGACGGAATTCCCTCCTAATTCTGCCCTACGCTCCAAAAGGGGAGGGGCCTGAAAGGACAGCTAAATGCACAGCAGTCCATTTTCACCAGGCCAACAACAAGAGCAAGGCTGCTACCAGAGCATCTTATCGCGTCAGTCACGTTCTGGAGAAACACATGAAGTCTTTCGAAGACGGCGAAGTTATGAAAGAAGCTTTCCTGGAGGCTGCGACGCGCTTTTGTGGGACAGTAAAAATAACAGCAGCATTTCAACAGGTTTTTGATATAATAAAAACTCAATTTAGATACCGTTATTAATCTGCTTGTAAGTTTTGGTTTGTTTGAATTTATTCATGATAATTATTGTACAAAATGGTATAAGAATGCAAACATTAGGATCTGTTCTGTTTAAATTGATTATAGTCTATCAGTTCAGAAACTAGTGTTGCTTGCATCCTATTTAAAGGCATTTCTTTTTATACTCTAATAAAATGCAACAAAAAATGGGTTTGATTCTATTAATGTTGTCTTTTTTATTGCACTGTTGCTGCAGCAGATTACTGAGTAGCTTCAGATCTGAGTTGTCTTATTAGTAAGCCTAATTTATACTTTTGTAGCAACACTATTTTTATATAATGGCAAAGAAAGGGTTCAGAGTCTTTTCTTTTCTTCCTGTGTCATATGTGGCAGCACTGCCACAAGTTCCTCTTCAGAGAGGGTCTTCAGTACAGGTGGCAATATCGTCACCTGCCTGCGCTCATCTCTGAAACCAGACCATGTAAACAGGCTGGTATTTCTTGCAAAAATCTTTAAGAGATGACATGAGCAGCCCTACCAGCATTTGCCATGGTGGCCTAAACATTTTTATTTGGTCTTAAATTGTAGTTCAATATGTATTTCCTGTTACTTCTGGACCATGACGGTTGGCCAGCCTTCAACGTGTAACTGAGTAGAATATGTTGAATATGTTTTACCAAAATGTTGGCTATATGTTAAGGAGTTTTCAGTAGGTTGTGACAGTGCACTGCAACATGTTTGATTTAATTGATTTTGGGTCTAATTTATTTTTATTTATCATATTAATATATGTTTAGTATGGTTTTGGAAGTGCGCTCCAACACATTTATTGATCTTGTTTATTGGTAAAAATATTATTTGTTTTAAAGTTCAATAAATGGTCAATGAATAATCGTCAAAATAATCGTGATATCAATTATTGACCAAATAATCGTGATTATGATTTTTGCCATAATCGCACAGCCCTACTGTCTGTGGTTTCTACATTTATAACCTGTCTACAAATGTAATGCATCGAGTAAATGCTTCACATGTACTGACTTGTGAACATGCCATTTACATGTGTGTTGTTTCAATGAAATGCGTCACTCAAACAAGATGCGCTGGCGAGGAGGATGTCGTGAGACAGCGTCACGCAAATTTGAAGCTGGAGATGAAAAAACCTTCGCCACGAATTTGTGTCTTTCCGCTTCTTTGAATTGACTCTACATGTAATCGTGACGCGGTCCAGTGTGAACGTACCTCAGCCTGGTTAAGATCATATTTCTTCCTGAAGTTAAAGACCTTAGCGCTGCCTTCCACCACTCCCTTCTCCATTTCAGTGGTGACGACAATCCTGCAGGAACAGGAAGAGAGTCGGGATTAAGAGTGTGTGTGTGCATGCAAGTGTCTTCATCATTATCTGTGTGTGTTCACCTGTCGTGAGCCTGTTGAGAGTCCACCTTAGTAGCAACGTTGTCATTGATCAGCCAGTGGAAGTCCTTGTTGGTGAAGAGGGGGATATCATCCCAGTCGTTTTTCTTATTCCTTTTTTTTACTTTGACATACCTGCTGCCTGCGTTGAAGTCTCCGAGCACCATGATGTTCTTCTGGCAGAGGGAAACGGCTCAAACTAATTATTTTAGAACTAGATCAGAATTATGTCATGGTAATGGGCAATCTAAAAACACAAATCTAACGCCCCCTATCTAAATGTTGCTCTCTGTCGTCCACTCATTTTACACAGAAGCGGCTGTTCTCCCGCTACCTGAACAAACTGCTGAGTCATGATGGAGATTGAAGTTCATATTTAGAGATATTACGTTTTATTTGACAATTCTTTTTGAAAGATCTCTTCTTTTGTTTTGATCACATCGGCAGATATGGGCCTCCATAGTAATATGTTTGTAACACAGTTTAGCTAAAGAATTAAGTTGGCGTGTGTGTGTGTGTGTTAAGGCTGTATGTATTCCCTGTTTCTTTTCCCTTTGGTTCCTCTACCCAGGTGTGCTACATTGCTGTAACGAGGTTCAGACGAGGTGCACCTGGAGAAGGAAGTGCTTAAAAGCTCCAGTGCAGGAGAGAGAGGCCTCTGGTGTGGGGACTGCTGTGGTTCTGCCTCTCATCCTAGGAAGGATTTGTGTCTTTTGTGGTCTATTTGGGTCAGTGGTGGAATGTTGTTAGCCCCATAGGGCCATTTTAAGGGTGGGGCGCAGCAGTGTGTGTGTGTTTCTACGGTTGTATTGTATGTCTTGTACGGGGTATTACATTGTTATTCCATTTTTTTCCGGCAGCAGCCACCACGTCAACAAGGGCATCAATTTCTTTTACAGCGTGGTCCGGTTTGGTGTGAATGGGGATCAGAACAAATTCCTTACCTGGAGACCAGGAGAGAGAGAGGAGTGAATGAAGACAGACAATGACAATACTTTATCACATTCAACACTAATACAAAATGAAGTCTTTTAAATTTTGCAGGAAAAGACTTGAACTTGAAAAAGTAGCACCGACTGAATGATAGAGTTGTTCAAAGTGGTGTTGGTGACGGACAGACCTCAGGATCTCCTCTCACACAAGTCTGGTGCTTAGTTCTCTAGAATAGTTGAGATAATCTACATTTCCAGTGAAAGAACAGAGTCTCTCCTCTAATACCGGTCTCTGTGGAGGAAAACTTGACGACGTAGGGCGGTCTGTCGAAGCCTTTGGCAGTGTATTGGAAGCTGTCTTTCACGGTCACCTTCTTATCCCTGCAGAGGAAAGATGGAACTCTTTATTTTGAAGACGTCTCCAAACAGTGGATCGAGTTCATCGACTCTTTCTCGGTCACATATTCACACAACTCCTGGAGCATTTCTATGCTGTTTACACTCTTTATCAAACACATATTTCCTGTTTCTGCTCCCCTGGTATTAACAAAGCAATCCATACAAACGATCATTTGACTGTTGGTGTTTTGTTTTTGCCCTTTTGTGTTTTACCTGTAGAGGAAGAGGTATCTCTCCTTATCTGTCCAGAATTTCAAGATGCTGGAACTGAGGGGCAGGGGCTCACTGAGGATATTGCTGAAATGCTGAGAATCTCTGGGGAAACACACACACACACACATACACACACACACACACACACAGACATATACATACCTTTTGTTTATCTTGAATCATAAAGTGAGTTCATGATCTGTCGAACTTTTTACAAACTTCTTCAAAAGGTCACCATTAGTGCTGCTGCATTTTGAAAACATAACTTTTATATTTGTGAGAAGCTGACCGTTGAGCGGCCCAGACCAAGCAAGGAAGCAGAGGTGGGCATTTATTAAACTTGAGCACAGGACACAGCCTCAGTCCTGCTGTTCCTGTGCACACACACTACCAGCCTCCCAACAGGGAAACAGAGCCTAAATACACACACTAATCAGCACAATAAGACACAGGTGAGGGGGGGAGGAGACAACACAGGGCAGCAGGTGCAACACAATCAACAGCCACAGACATGGGGTTGTATTTTGTTGGACGAACGCACTTATTGTAAGTCGCTTTGGATAAAAGCGTCAGCTAAATGCAATGTAATGTAATGTAATGGGAAAGGGAACACTTTTGACATAAAACCAGCAAACAGAGACAGACAAACTAAAACACATACAGATGCAACACACTACCTACATTTCGCCACCAACAAGCTACACAATCCGTAACGGAGGCCGAGATCTATGGCCCCAGAGATCACCTCCGTTACAATATTGATTGATATTTCAATTCCAATATGAAAGGAAATATATGAATGTATGATAGTATGAAGTGTGTCTGTATTAGGTCTATAGAATACTGTTTGTAGGCCAGGACTTCTCCACAACGCTTCATTCAGATATTTTCACTCGTTTTGCCAAATACTGAGATTACTGAGATTTGGATTTTGCAGCAGTTCAAGATAACATTTAGATGAATGAAGCAGCCCTCACAGTCTGCGCGTCTGTTGTGTTAGAATACTGTGTCTGCTCTTCATAAGTCTTACTTGTTAACAAGATCCTTGAGTCTTTTGGTTACGCTCAGATCTTTGTCTTGGAGCCCCTGGATCAGAATGATGTCATAGCGAAGGACAATCTGAAGAAAATGTAATTCTGATGGTCAATTCTGACGGAAGTACTGAGGGCACAGCAGAAGAAGACAGACAGGAAGTAAACACTGAAGGGACAGCAGAAGAAGACAGACAGGAAGTCTAGTAATGCTGCTCATGTGGTGTCAAGTTGCTGGAGACGTTTCTTCATGTGTTTTTATATCTGCTTCTTCTGAAGCTGCAGAGTTTCTCCTGATGGAAGAGTTTGGGGCCGGAGCAGCACGTTCACACCTGCTGGCCACCGTAGCTGTTCAGTGCTGCACTTCAGCATTATGTTTTTAAAATGACCATTACCTCAAAACAATCATTGATTTCCAAGAAAAGGAAACTCAAACAGGAAGTGGGTTCCTATGTTCCACTTGCATACAGTCAAAACAACGAGGAACAAATACATATTGGATAGCAAATTGAGTTTCAGACCTCTTTGAATGTGGTTCATCACAAAGTCATCTTTGGATTTCTTGGGTCCAAAGTCTTCGATGTTGAAGGCTCCAATCCACAGACAAGGAGTCACATGCAGCAGGGCCAGAAGAGACCCAGAGCACAAAGCAGACCGCATCCTGGGACTAACAGAGACATCTTTAAAATACTTGGTAATCAAATCAAAACTTTATTTATATTGCACTTTCAAACACAAAGGTAACTCAAAGTGACTCGTTGTGTTTCCCACAATGTCCTCTTGGGTCAAATGTAGTTATTATATTAAGAATATTAAATATTTGCGTTTAACTGATTGGTAATATCACCAAACAAAATGAACTCCACATATTGTAATAGATTTCAGTCGTCTTAGGAGGACGGGGTAGTGGTGTCAGCCTTCTTACTGAGTGTCCAACACTGTGAAACAAATACTTTCACTTACGCACTTCATTGCTCAAGGAGAATATATTCAGGGTTGTGAAGTAACTAAGTAGATTTACTCAAAGACTGTACTTAACTACAATTTTCCAGTTTATGCTACTCTGTACTTCTACTCCACCACAGAGGGTAACTGTTGGTTACTTCTACCTCCTCTACAGTTCAGAGGTACATGGTGTACTTCTACTCCACTACATGTATTTAATACCTTTAGTTACTTCACAGTATGAATGATGTGAAATATAACCAAGTGTTGAATCAGACTTTAGTTCCACCTGGAGTAAATCCACCAGCTACCCTGCAGTATACAAAGTACTTCAAACTAGCTGCACCTTCACCAGCTTTGAGAACACTTTCATGATCAATCATTATAAAACATATCATATATATTATTCTGAAATGGACCAATCTGCCACAACGACTACTTTCACTAGGCTTGTTGAGACACATTGCGGCTCGCCTCGAAAGTAGACGAGAGTAGCCGATCGCAGCCGGGGGGAGGTGTCAAAAAGCTCGTCTTAAGTCGGACAGCTCGGAGTCCATGCTCGGAGTCGGCTTCGTCTTCTTCTTCTTCTCTCGGTTTTTTTGGCGGATTGCAAACGCTTTAAGGTGCATACCGCCACCTCCGGAGTCGGCTTGACTCGGTTTGCATTTATAAAGAATGCACACGTGTTTAATCGTTAATGTCAGATATGTACTAAGTAAATACATTTGTTCCTGCTCCAGGATTAGATTCAACTTTATTGTTATTGCACATATTACAGGTACTGAGACAACAAATGCAGTTTAGCTTCTAACCAGGTGCAACAAGCAGTAAAGTGAAAAGTAATGTACACAATCTACAGAATAAAATATAGAATGAATTGAATGATGAATAAACAGTGAGGGGTATGAATACACTAGATATCAGGCCTGTGAGCAGTATGAACAGTGTGTATGAATATGCTAAGATATATAAAGTATGAAAACGGTAAGCAGTAATAGTATAAAATATATAGATATTAATTTCATGATGATAAACATTGTGGAACAATGATGAAAAATGGGAATGGATGTGGCGACGTAAAACTGACACAAAACAACAACAAACTTTTGCCAGCCAATTGGAGAGTTTCATCAGCAGCACGTGGTAAAAACCACCAATGAGCGCTCAGCTCGAGATACCAGCGAGTCGTTTCCCACCAAGCATTTCGCTTCCGCAGCCCGTGGAGAGCAACTGCGCCAACTCGCCTCGCCTCGCTCTCAAGGCTGCGGGCGTCTTTGTCCCGCGAAATTTCAAAGTCTCATGTGGGCGGGCCTCCAGAGCAAGTCGGACAAAATGACTAACCATCATGCAACGCACTAGCAAGACGTTGATCGCAACTGCGCAGGTCTGCGCAGGTCTTGCTCGTCTCAAACAAGCCTAGTGTCTTTCACTATATTCTGATGAGAATACTTTTCTACTTTCACTTGAGGAACATTTTGAATGCAGGGACTTTTACTGTAACAGAGTATTCCTACACTCTTGTACTTTCTACTTTTACTCAAGTACAAGATCTGAGTACTTCTACTTTTACTCAAGTACCAGATCTGAGTACTTCTACTTTAACTCAAGTACAAGATCTGAGTACTTCTACTTTTACTAAAGTATAAGATCTGAGTACTTCTACTTTACTCAAGTACAAGATCTGAGTACTTCTACTTTTACTCAAGTACAAGATCTGAGTACTTCTACTTAATTCAAGTACAAGATCTGAGTACTTCTACTTTTACTCAAGTATAAGATCTGAGTACTAGTAGATGTTGAAACTCAAAGTGTATTTTAAATTATATTATGGATTAGTGTTTTATATTATAGCATGTTCTCTATTCTTCCCAGTAGGTGGCGACAAAAAGCACGTTTTATCCCCAGGAAGAAAACGCCTTACGCGTACGTTATCACGCAGCAGCCACAACCCGGAAGTAAACACCCAGCTGTTATCTTGAAGCTAGTTTTTATCAGCACATGTAGCATCGGCAGATATAATGAAACAGCGGGGAATAACGCGGTGTTTTATGATGCTGGTTCCGGAGTAGAGACTGAGTCGACAGAGGCTTCGGGAGATTTTATTCTCCTTCACTTTCCTCCGGTCCGAGAGCTGAAACAAGGTACGTGTTAGCTTAGCATCAGGAGCTAACGGTGGCTAACAAGCTGTTGTTGTTGTAAATATCAGATATAATACTTCACTGTAAGTTATAATGTGGGACTGAGGGAGTAGGGTTTCATAAGAGTCGAGTCGCCAGGTTGCTAAATAGATACTTTATTAATCCCAAATATGACAGCAGTGTGTCTCAAGTATTTATAAATCCACTATCATTCAGTATCTAAATACACAATATTAAGAAAATACGGAATAAAGTGAATACATTATACAATCTCCCTCTTCGAGTCTGTTATCACCAAGTAGGTTTTTACCCATACGAGACCTTTGCTTTGCTATAAATGGTGCAAACAAAGACACTGGAAGAAGAATACATTAAACAGTAGTACTTTAGTATAAAAGCAATTTTATCCAGTTTTTATTGAGTTTTTCGAACTACTAAAACGTGTTATTAGATGACATCGAGTTTTACAATTGGAAATGTAAAATAAAAGCAGTTTAGAGTCGATATGTAAAGCTCGATCTCTCAAAGATCCCTCCTACTATTCTTTTTTATTATTGCTTGCCTTTTTTACCTGCTATGCACCTGTTGCTGTAATAATGTTAGTGTATTACTAAGAAAGGAATTCAGATTAATATAAAAGCTATAAGACTATATATATATATATATATATATATCCCTTTTTTTAAACTTTGTTGTCATTATATGGTACAGGTACTAGAAACGAAACGGTTTCTCTGCATTTGACCCATCCTAGTGTTGGGAGCAGTGGGCTGCCATTATGTGCCTATGCACTGGTGACCTTCCAGTTGCCAAGTCCCTGGACTTCGCCACCACCGGCTCATATATAAGATAATATTACACAAAATATAATAATGTGAGATACTGAGTACGAATACAAGGTTGGCCTGTTGCTGATTAGCTGTTGTTTTATATTGTTGATAGAACATCTGTGTTGTAACCGTTTGTCACAGAATACTGTGACCTTTATACCGTATAATATTAACTTTTCATAAACCGCTCGAGTGGTGCGGCAGTGAAATTAGTCCCCAGGGCCTTTCTGACCGGACAACCCTCCCATATTTATTCTCCGTAAAAACAAAGCTGTCTCTGCCGTCTCTCTCTCTCAAACCAAAAATACAGATTTCCCCCTAAAATGTTAAAGTGAGTACTTCTACTTTTACTCAAGTACAAGATCTGAGTACTTCTACTTTTACTCAAGTACAAGATCTGAGTACTTCTACTTTTACTATCAAGTACAAGATCTGAGTACTTCTACTTTTACTCAAGTACAATACCTGAGTACTTCTACTTTTACTCAAGTACAAGATCTGAGTACTTCTACTTTTACTCAAGTACAAGATCTGAGTACTTCTACTTTTACTCAAGTACAAGACCTGAGTACTTCTACTTTTACTCAAGTACAAGATCTGAGTACTTCTACTTTTACTCAAGTACAAGACCTGAGTACTTCTACTTTTACTCAAGTACAAGATCTGAGTACTTCTACTTTTACTCAAGTACAAGACCTGAGTACTTCTACTTTTACTCAAGTACAAGACCTGAGTACTTCTACTTTTACTCAAGTACAAGATATGAGTACTTCTACTTTTACTCAAGTACAAGCCCTGAGTACTTCTACTTTTACTCAAGTACAAGACCTGAGTACTTCTACTTTTACTCAAGTACAAGACCTGAGTACTTCTACTTTTACTCAAGTACAAGACCTGAGTACTTCTACTTTTACTCAAGTACAAGATATGAGTACTTCTACTTTTACTCAAGTACAAGCCCTGAGTACTTCTACTTTTACTGAAGTACAAGATCTGAGTACTTCTACTTTTACTCAAGTACAAGATCTGAGTACTTCTACTTTACTCAAGTACAAGACCTGAGTACTTCTACTTTTACTCAAGTACAAGATCTGAGTACTTCTACTTTTACTCAAGTACAAGATCTGAGTACTTCTACTTTTACTCAAGTACAAGATCTGAGTACTTCTACTTTTACTCAAGTACAAGATCTGAGTACTTCTACTTTTACTCAAGTACAAGACCTGAGTACTTCTACTTTTACTCAAGTACAAGATCTGAGTACTTCTACTTTTACTCAAGTACAAGACCTGAGTACTTCTACTTTTACTCAAGTACAAGACCTGAGTACTTCTACTTTTTACTCAAGTACAAGATCTGAGTACTTCTACTTTTACTCAAGTACAAGATCTGAGTACTTCTACTTTTACTCAAGTACAAGATCTGAGTACTTCTACTTTTACTCAAGTACAAGACCTGAGTACTTCTACTTTTACTCAAGTACAAGACCTGAGTACTTCTACTTTTACTAAAGTACAAGATCTGAGTACTTCTACTTTTACTCAAGTACAAGATCTGAGTACTTCTACTTTTACTCAAGTACAAGACCTGAGTACTTCTACTTTTACTCAAGTACAAGATCTGAGTACTTCTACTTTTACTCAAGTACAAGACCTGAGTACTTCTACTTTTACTCAAGTACAAGATCTGAGTACTTCTACTTTTACTCAAGTACAAGATCTGAGTACTTCTACTTTTACTCAAGTAC